TTCGGGAGGAATGAAAGTGTGCCATAACTTATAAAACTCTCTAGTTTGTAAAGTTGGACCTAGAGAGAATAAATTATGTGGGAATACGTCATTGTTCCCAATGTTTGGGATTACAGGCACATCGTAATCCCTTGGGTCTTCACTATTTGGATTTAAGAAGATATTTCTCATTTTGTTTACTAATAATTCATTCATATCGAAGATCTGGAATTCTGTTCTTGGGTTTTTACGATCATTATCATGTCTGATGTTATCACCAGTCCAGATGACGAAATCGATTTTATCTTTTAAGTTTTTAGCGATCCAATCTAAGGTGGCATCCATTAACTTCATTGGAGTGTCGCAGCCACCCATAGCTTTCCCAAAGATGGGAGCTTTATCATTTTTATCATCTGGTTCACTCTGATGGCAAACGTTATCTATCGATGAACCTTCTTCGTAAAACTGGTCAGGATGTATATCAGTGATGTGTAGGAATCTTCCATGCAAAGTTCTCTCTCTCCCAGTGTCGGAGTCTACTATAATAAAGGGGGTATTTTGAGATAATCTCAAATCTTGTAGTTCTTGAATATGGTTGCTAGTTAAGTTTACATTTGGCACAATATCAAATGAAATTGCATCATTGTAGGAGGCACCACCATAAATAATTCCTTGAATCCCACGAAGTGCCATGATTATATTAGATATGGTAACGAAATATCTTAAATATCTTATGAATGCCATCCACCATGGTCTGGAGACCCTCGGTGGAACAGGTTTATCAGTATCGTTCTTTTCAGAACTCATATCGATTTAATGAATAAGAGTTTACCCTATTTTGACTATATGCCTATGCACTAAACGGTTGAACCAAAAGACCACAACGACGAAACACTACAAGCAAAATAAACAACTTCTTAAAACTCTAACTTATAATAACAGCATGATATTTTTTAAACTGAGTTCAAGTTTTGACTCTTCAAAAGCCTTCCCACTACAAAACGTACAATATCAAAAATGATAAGCCCAAACTGCATACCCTTGGGGATACCGATATCGAAGGAAACAAGGTAAAAGAAAGATATATAACCCCATAAACACGAGGATGGGACATAGATCAAGAAACCAATAAGAACAAGAAACTTTTGCAACGAAGAGCTGTAAACTAGAACCATTCCATGCAATGATGTCGTATTCAAGAACATGGGAGAAAAAAAAGGCATAGGCACATACACACATGTTGTATTTCATGCCATACGAAGACCAACCAAGTCGACCACTTCAAGACCAAAAGTTCAATAACTTGTTCTTAAACCATCTATGCATCTATATATATTCATATATTTGTATAAGCAAAGTGAAATACAATGGGATGAAGAATAGAAATAGTTTGTAGTATTGTAAAACCTATCTGTAACTAACGAGAAATGAGTTTCGAGATTATAGACGATAAGAATCAGTTTCGAAACCATTTTAAAACGACAAGACAAGCATCGATTTTTGATATATCATGGAATGTAACATAATAACTAGCAACCCATCCATCAATCGGTCACTTTAACCAAATTGGGTATTCCAACAGGGTGATTACTTTTCGTGTGTGTATTGAACATATATCGATATAGCTTCCTTGTTCAACAGTTAGCACTTAGAGTTTGCACTTGAAGTGTGGTCTTTCTTGTTCTGGTTCGAAACAATAAACACGATCAGATCTTGTCAAAGTGCTGTATGTAACATTTGTAACATTTCGAAATTTTTCAATTTAGTCTAATTTTGGTTTCTGTCTCCTCTTAATTTCGAAATTAGTTTGCCTGTTTGGGTAGAGTAATTAAGACGTAATCACCAAAAAGTTGCTTTTACAGTATTGTATTGTATAGCATTGTATTGTTGCTGATTGTTGCTGATTGAAATGGATATACAGCTTAGTTTCTTTTATTTGGTGAACGCGAAGTTTTTGCATTGTATTGTTATAAGATGGTTAAGAATTTGTTTTGCAGTGAAGTAGTATTTGTTAGGTTTTTTGACAAGATCTCATTAGTGGTTCTTTAGCGTTGTTTTTTGGTGGTTATGTGGTGAATCCAGGGTGGGGTCCTTTACCTTAGTAGGTAAAGATTTGAGAAATCCATTTGAGATTTTGTTTCTTGGTCGATCATGTCTACAGATTCGATTCGTATCAGTTTAGTTATTTGCCTTTTTTTTATTACTGTTTTATCTATTTAGGTATTAATTTAAGCATCTATTGGGAAACGCGATATTATATGGGTGACACTTTAAAACTGTATCATATATTACTTTTCTCGTTATGGTTATACATCAGTTGTTAAAAAGATCAATTGATTCAAGAGCTTATATACATTTTCATTAATACATATACAAATATATATAAGGAGAGAGGGATGTAACTTAATCTCTGATCTTGATATGTAATACATTTCTAATTTGTCCTTGAGAATTTACATAACATCATCAACATCATACACTTGAGTGCTGGCACACATATACACATACACATACACATACACATACACACAAAGATGTCATTATTACCTTCATTATCCATTCTATTGAAAGCTACCGAGCTTTCCTGCATTAACGACAATACCATCAATACTTTACAATCTAATAAGATTCAATTGCCACCATTAAATAGAGATTTATTCCATTCTCCAATTGATCCAATCCAAAGAATCCCTTCTATCCCTCCATTAATAGTGAAAAATAAAACAGACGTCAAATGTCACAATTCAAATCAAAAAACTTTCACTTCTATTGAAACATTAACCCCTGCTGCTACACCGGTGCCTTTGAAAAGATCTCATAGTGACGTATCTTCAGAAGATGTATCCGCTGCTCGTAACTCAATTGCAAAGAACATTGATATCATCGCACCTTCTCCAATAAGGAAAGGTGAACCATTACCAAATAGTAAAAAGGTATTTGCATTTGTCACTCATTCGCCTGACTCATATCCTAAAAATGAGCCTAAGGTTGACGATGAACAACTGGTTCGTAGGAAAAGAAGAAGAACTTCTTCTCAAGAATCTGATATTTTACATGCTCATTTCTCAGTATCTCCAATACTAGATAAAGAAACCAGATCAAAATTATCCAAACTATGTAGCATGTCGGAAAAGGCTGTTCAAATCTGGTTCCAGAATAAGAGACAAGCCTTGAAAAGACAAGCACTTGCCAAACAAGAAGAAGAGGCTGCTGCCGCCGCCGCCGCCGCTGCCATAACTTTACCTGATTCTTCTTCATTAACTCAATCGTCACTACAAAATAATAACCAACCTGTTAAGGGTCCACAAGCATTAACCTTCCATATCAATGGTGGCAAAGGCACTTTAAAGGCAATTAAAACCTCCCCAAATAACAGGGTCAACAGATTGATCAATAACTATAGAAACGGATTAGGGAAAGAACAAAACGGTGCACCTTTTAAAAATCATAACGGCAAAACTTTAAAACTAGCATTTGATTCGACCTCTAAAATATCATTGAGATAATTGAATCAAAATGTAGTAAGGAATTTCAATTTTGTTAAGCATCATTGATAAATTTCCTTAATTTACATATTTAACGCATATAAATAGATATCCATATACTGAAGCACGCATATAAAATATAATTTAACGCTCTACATGAAACTCAAGTTATACACTATTGGAATTGCTATATAATAATTGCTATATAATAATTGCTATATAGTAATGGAAACTGCAATATCCCATCCAAATAATAAAAATTAAGCTTCAGAAGTAATAGTAAATGATTATATTATTCATTTTATACATATGTTAGAATAGAGTAAAACAAATTAGAAATTGTATAAAAACAGTTACATAAACACAAATAAAAGTTTTCTTGTTATTATATTTGTAATGAACTTGTTTAAGCTCTTCTTCTACCGGTGGTTTTGGTATGTTGACCTCTAACACGCAAACCCCAGAAGTGTCTGATACCTCTGTGAGCTCTGATCTTCTTTAATCTTTCCAAATCATCTCTTAATTTGGATTCGATGTTGTTAGCCAAAGAGTGGTAGTCCTTACCGTCGTTGACATCCTTTTGTCTGTTCAAGAACCAAGCTGGGATCTTGAAGTTGGTTGGGTTTTGCATAATTTGAACAACTCTTTCCAATTCTTCTTGGGTCAATTCACCGGCTCTCTTGTTCAAATCAACATCAGCCTTCTTACAGACCAAGTTAGCGTAACGACGACCAACACCCTTGATGTAGGTCAAAGCGTAAACGATCTTGATGTTACCATCGACGTTAGTGTTCAACAAACTGTAATAAAAAAAATTATAGAAAAATTAAAATTGTTAGTAATTGTTTTTTGCTGTGTATTATATGGTGATCGTTTTATATTCTGTAGAGAACCGATATCTGAAAGAACATGGTATGAGAGAATATTCAGTTTTTTGTATTCATAGATCATGAGGTGTCCTATGCAGAAAGAAAATTTTCTTTTCCATACAATTCAGTGAAGTGAAAAAAAGCATGGCTTAAATGAACACTCTATATATAGTCAATTCTCAATATAATGGTAACTTTATTTCATATCAACTAAATTCATTTCTATTACCTCTAATTCATGGTTTTCTGGTATCTTGGTTTGCTATACTGAAAATTCACGTTACTCAAAAACGTATATATTTTTTATACTGATATTCATTCTCATTATTCATTTCATCTAATGTTTCCCACTCTTGTTGAACATAAAACACTAATTCACACTTAAATAGAGCCCAATTCGATTGGAGATATAGTTAAACATACCGTAAAATGTGTTGGAAGGAACCTTGTTCAGCGACAACTAAAGACATCTTTACCCGTTTCTTCTGTAATGGTTTCTATTATATGAACACTACAATACAAATAAACTATACTAATTAACAAGATACAGTACTAATATAGTTGACGATATACTTTTAAAAAGCTAACCAAGTACTTCCATCAATCTTTCATTGAACAAGTTGGCTAATAATAATTGACAAGAATTTACCAAACTCTAACAAAGACATCAGTAAAGGAAACAATAGCAAAGGCTCTAAGATAGAGAGAGAGTTGGTCAGTTTGCTGAAACTCATCAACCCAGTCCAGTCCAATCGATCATTCATTCAATCAATCAATCAATCGATAAGTCTGTGAACTAATTGATGAATTCACAGATTGTATTAGAACCAGCAATTTACCACTACAATAACGAGTAGATTTTTCGATATTGACTGAAACTTTTTGCCAATGATGATTGAACTAATTGATATTATGGTGATGTTAGTGAGTGTCGATGAGGGAGTGACAAGATTTTAGGTGCGTCTTTGCAATTGAAAAATTTGAAAAATTTGAAAAATTACAGAGAGAGGTAGACGGGATGTTGCGACGGGGCGAGCGAGGCTAGAAGGAGGATAATAGAAGGAGATGCGTGCTGTAGGCAGAGATACAATTATTCTCGGTTAGGACGAGTTTTGTTTTTCAGAAGGAGAGATGGTAAGAGTATGATTTCTTGCAAAGACGAAAAAGTGTTGTAACAATGTATATGGAGGAGAACCCAATGCCATACGAAAGATATGAAACAGCATATTCTATGTTTAATGCGTACGTCGTGAAAATGAGGGAGAGAGAGACAGAGAGATAGTATAGACAGTGCGTACTTCGTCTCTTCTCTATGGTATGTGGATGTAGCGAAATATGAGTGTCGCATCCCGATGCAAGCTGATTGATGCTTTTCCTCTGATGAAGTCGAGAAGCGTTTTTGACAATAAGACGGGAGAAACCAGTACCAGGCAGAAATATATATTGACATGTATATAAATAAATACTTGAAAAAATGGCAGCTTCGCCCGAACTTTTTTGAAAATTGTCGAAAGAAAGAAAAAGAGTAGTTTGTATTTTACACCCGTACCTTTTACTGCATTTCTGATTTGTTGAATATGTATGGGTGTATAGTCACTTGAATCTTTGACATTGAGATCTGGAACTGTGGTTCAATGTTACCCTCCTTTGTATTCCTGCCGTGTGTATGTTATCTATGTATGTACGCATCAATGTATAAATGTTAATAGATGATGTAAAATGACAGTCATGTTACATATGGAAAACTGAATAAAAGAATATATTTCTGTAACCAATGTTCTATATTCCAGTTGTCTTAATGTGATTCTTACTATATTGATTGGAAATACTATGGTGTCTCAAAAGATCCCGTCCACTATAAGTTACAGACGTTCTTTAGTACAATTACAGATTGTATCATTGTCGACGATATTGAAAATTTTTGAAAAGTGAAAAATTCCAAAGGTCATCTCATCTCATCTCATCTCATCTGCATCTATTTTAATATTGAAATTTATATATGCTTAATATACAAGAAAGGATATCTCGATATCACGATAATAACTATTCGATAGATATAAAACAAGATATTGATACGATAAAGTCAGCATGTCCTCAAAATCGAGATACTATTTGGAACAATGTATTCCTGAATTGGATGATTTGGTAGAGAAAAAACTATTTACCAAGAATGAAGTTTCCGCCATTATGAAGAAAAGAACTAATTTTGAACACAGACTAAACTCAAGAGGTTCTAGTGTCAATGATTATCTTAAATATGTCACCTATGAATCAAATGTGGATAATTTGAGATTGAAAAGAGTGAAAAGAATCTTACAAGCTAATAAATCAAACAGTATTTCAGATTGGTCTATGCAAAAGAGAATAATGTTCATATATCAAAGAGGTTGTAATAAATTTCCAAAAGATCTGAAGTTTTGGGCAATGTATTTGCATTATTTGAAATCAAGAGGTAATCAAACTTCATACAAGAAAATCCATAACGTTTATAATGAATTGATCAAACTGCATCCTTCAAATATTGATGTTTGGATCAGTTGTGCTAAATATGAATATGAAGTCCATGCTAATTTCAAAAGTTGTAGAACAGTTTTCCAAAATGGTTTGAGATTCAATGCAGATCAGCCTAAACTATGGTATGAGTATGTTAAATTCGAATTGAATTTTATTACAAAATTGATTAATAGAAGAAAAGTAATGGGTTTAATAAATGAAAGAGAACAAGAATTAGATATGTTGAAAGAACAAGAAGAGAAAAATGCTGACGATGAAAATGATGCCGAAAGTGACGGTGATGAAGAAGCTTCAGGTTACCTTAAGAGAGGACCATCCACTGGTGATTCCATGAAAGATAAATTAAATGAATTACCAGAAGCAGATATGAATATGTTAGGTGATAAAGATACAAACCCTGCATTACATGGTGATATCGCTTTAACAATTTTTGATATTGCTATTGAAACTTTAGGTAAATATTATATTAATAAGCATATGGGTTATTATGCCGTTTCTGATATGAAATTAGATAAGGAATTGAGAAAAGATACGGTAAAATATCTATTTGAAAAATCATTAGAATATGTGGCGCTATTTGAAAAGTTTGATGACTTGGATAGGGTATATTTGATTAATCATATTATACAATTTTGGAAAAATGATATGCATGATATGTCTTTACCAAATGAATTGCCAGAATTGTATGTCAAGAATTTGATTATGGATATAACATTAAATATAAGATTCATCGATGTGGAAAGCCTTGATATTGATCAATTGCAATTATCAGTAAAGAAATACTTCGCATACAAGAACAAGTTGAAGGACACCGTATTAACTGAAATTCAATCATCGTATACTTCATATCTACGAGAAAATTACTTGTGTCATTTAGATAAAGATGATTCGAGATATGGTATCTTGGACCAAATTATCAAGAAACTTTAGGAGGCATAATACAAAAAACTAATATCGATAACCTCCCCTAATTTTATGGGAAAAACGACATATCAGGAGATTGAGATTTCAAAAGTCATATTTTATAAAAGTATATATACATAGTAAAATACTCAAAATGCATAAATTTGAATTAGTAAAAATTATCATTAAGTTTATTTAAGCTTTTTATTTTATCGACGTTACACTTACAAATTTAATGTGAATGTATAGATATTGTTACATATGATGCTATATCCAATTCTGGGTTTGAAAGAAATCATAAATTCTATTTGCCTTAGCAGCTTCGATATTTAGTAATTCTCTGCAAGATTTTTTCTTTAAATTACCACCATTTTTTAACAACTCTCTAAAGATTACTTCCTTAATTGCTAAGTAAGGCTTTGGTAGGATTTTTAATTGAACACAAAGTTGTTGTTCATCTGGTGATAATAATCCATAATCGGAGCCGTGTTGAATATCACTAATTGTCATATTTTTCCTTCTACCATTAGCTGTAGTGTTTGGTGTCGCACCACCTGCAGTAGCTGAACCTTCGTTGTAGTTCTGCGAATAATCTGCACTGGATCTGTGGTTCGGAGTTGACCTGTATCTACCAGAAGCATTCCCATTAATTCCACTATTACCGCCAGGATAATGTGAATTTCCGAATTTTTCTAATGTAGCTATTCTAATTTGTTTATCTCTTTCAAACTTTGCACCTGCATCTAATGTGGTGATACCATTGCTTCTCCAGTCTTGTAGTTGTTTAATCCTTGATCTACATCTTAATTCTTCTAATAAATCTTTGCTAAATTCTTCAAAGTCTTGGGCTGTCATTAATTTAGCATAATGTTTAACTCTATTTGATAATTCTTTTGATTGTTTTGATCTTCTTTTATCTATGCTCTGAAGTCTTCTATAGTCCATCAATTTATTTTCGAAAAGTAATCTTTTCTTTTCTGCCCTTGTAGTTAATCTTGAATTATAAATATCCAATATTGTTAACTTCAACTCGATATCCAGAGGTTGGTCATCTGCTTCAAATAACATATCTTTTACAGGACCTTCCGCTTCATTTTCGAATTCAGTTTCGAATTCTAATCTACCAGGCATAAACCCTTGAACTTCATGACAACTTGGTACCGATGCAACAGGTTTCCTTGGGGGATCTAAAGGCTTCTCTCTGAACCTCTCAATTCTAGTTTTTCTATCCTCTAGAAATTGATCTTGCTGCACTTCTATATTTTTAGTAATATCAGGAATTGGGTAGTATTCACTATTTATATAGTACTGCACATAATGCTCATTGACTTCCTCTTTGCCCCTACTTCCGATGTGGTCAGCAATGTCTTGCCAATTACCTAAACCCAGAGTTTGGGCCCCTTTGACCAATGCAAGTTCTTCATCGGCCCCCCAATCTTCACTTAGGATAGGATATGAGTTTGTTTCAATTATTCTATATGGATGGAAAGGTCTGTGGTTGCCATTGTATAAACCTTGTGAAAAGCAAGGCACACATAAATCGTACTCGGGACATTCCGCACACGATATTCTTACTCGATTGGTACAATCAGCGGAACAGATGTCGCAGTGAAATTTATTTGACATGGTTAATGATATAGTTGTCGTTTCAATATGAAAGTATAATTAAAATAGGATATGAAAAAAAATGAGATGAGATGTGGATCTAAGATATTTGGTTAGAATCCAATGCAATAAAAAATAATAGAGAATAGATGACAGCTAACGTTTAAGAACTAATAATACAATGCGGTCACTAATATGCCATGAAAAAAGGGTAGTGGTAATTGTTGATCTTGCGTAATGCGATGTTCAATGTTGGTGTTGATTTTTCAGTTAACCAAAAAAAATAAAAAGGTCAATTGCGAGTATAATTTACAGATTTGGACCTCTATATTACTAAGCTTTGGATAACAATTGATATGAAATAGGGTTCTTCTTATTACCAAAACACGACTTTTCAATATATAGTTTACTATTTTTTATTTTTTTTTTTCAAAAAAACCTTAAAATCTAACGGTGCTAGAATAGTAATATCTAAAAGTACAAAATCAACAGACAATATTTAAACTTTGTTCAGTTAAACCAAAATCGAACCAGTCAGTACAGAATAAAGTATATTACAAGGGTAAAATAAGCACGTATTGAATCATTCGTTAATCATCTTGAATGTATACATTTTATATTATATATATCTACAATTTTATGCACATTATTTACATTATCGATGAATTTTGTAAAATTTGGTTTTTCTTTGTTATTTCCAAGAATAACAAATCCTTTCAAACGAATATCGTTGGTTGTGATTTTATGTATTTAAAATGACTATTTTACATCCGTACATATTTGGTAGGAAATTACACCTGTACATTTTTGTCTTTGGAAAAGAAAGCGATTTTTTATCTCTTTTTTTTTGTCCGTTCGGGGAAAATGCGGAAATTTGAATTTATTTTAATTTAGTTTTTACTTAAAATATCGCTTTGAAGCAGAAATTAAATGTGAGCTCCGCTCTTGTAGAGATGGTCTTACTTACTACTCACTTAGCGATACAACAAGAACAAGCTTTAGCTATCATTAATTTACTGGATAGGTGAGAATGGTTATTAGATGCTGTGGGAGAGGAGCATCTATGTGAGAGCAATGGCAGTAGTAATATAGACATTGCTATGTAGATACCATACATGTACAGGACCAAGACATGTTAACTAGTTATCCTCTTGAACTCAAGAATCTAAAATCATATCTGTCTTGTCCTTTAGCACATACGTAATCATTCCTCCTTTCTAGAAAACGATTTTGTCATCTCTCTCGGCCCAGCGCAACTCTGCCTAGCTATTTCCCAGCTCTGCCTAGCTCCCGGCCTGGGCTTTTTTTAGCCTTTCTAAAACTACCGACGCAAACCTGTCCCTTCTACTCATCACGAAATTTTATGAAAAAGTTTCAGTTTCTTTGTATTGCACTACCAAACTGAATTTCTTTAGTTGGTGTGCTAGATGGATGGACTGAATTGATATGACAATGAACGTGGGAAACAGAGAACGTTCTAACTTCTCTCAATCCTATCGTTGTTTCTTGTAAGCATCATCAATTCATGAATACTAACTCCCTCTCTCTATCTCAGCTAAACCTTTATTCTAATTCTAATTGCAATTGTAAAGGTGAAACTATTCCAACCCATCCAACATCACCAATCTTGTTGTTTCTTGTCAATGATACTATCTCTCTCTAAGTAACTAACATCATTTCTATTCCAGTTGATGGCCTCCATTACTATCTATCTACTGTTTTTTCATGATTGAACTTGTTGTAATTTAAATTTATACGTTAATATAAAACTTGTATATAAATTTCAATACATACATTATTATTCAATTTAGAAGATAGCCAGACATCGAGATAAACCAATAACAAAATGGTATGTTATAAATGAAATATGGTTGTTTTGGGTAGAGCATGTGTGATAATAGAAACCTGAGAGACATATACTATGATATTGACAAGATGTAATGGGTGGAAAATAGGAATTGGCAGTGCAATCTGATTAAAAAAGTGGAGGATCTTTAATATATTAAAAAGCTGTAATACATATGGTGGATTGGTATCAGTTGTGGCATTAACTCTTTTATAGAAGATAATACAATTATTAAAATTTGAAGTAAGGTTAGATATCAGGTTTGAGATTATTCTCATTATATGCGATACCTAGAATTTAATACTTATATTTTTAAGTTTTGAAGATATGTTTTACTAACAAGGTATATTTAATTTGATGATTTCTCATAATTTTATCAAATTATAAACTTATTTATTTTTAACAGGGTAGAGTTAGAACCAAGACTGTTAAGCGTGCCTCCAAGGCTTTGATTGAACGTTACTATCCAAAGTTGACTTTGGATTTCCAAACCAACAAGAGATTGTGTGATGAAATCGCTACCATCCAATCCAAGAGATTGAGAAACAAGATCGCTGGTTACACTACCCACTTGATGAAGAGAATTCAAAAGGGTCCAGTTAGAGGTATCTCTTTCAAGTTACAAGAAGAAGAAAGAGAAAGAAAGGATCAATACGTCCCAGAAGTTTCTGCTTTGGACTTGTCTCACTCTAACGGTGTTTTGAACGTTGACAACCAAACTGCTGATTTGGTTAAATCTTTAGGTTTGAAATTGCCATTATCTGTCACCAAGGTTTCTTCTCAAGCCAGCAGACGTTTCAGAAGAAGAGCTTAAGTAAATTTCTCGAATTTAATATCGTTTGATTAATAATATCTCATTCTATTTAATTCATAAGATTTCTTTAATACTCTTTTTATGTACAGTTAACATATATCAACAAATTTAAAAATAACAATAAAATTTGCTCTTTAATTTTATTCATTAGATTTATTTTTTATATATAGACGTAACTAATCCTTGATAATAATGGAATTGCATTATATTGTAGTTGTTGTTTTGTTTGATCGTGGCAGAAGTCATTTTCGATATAATAAGGACAAAATTGCATGATTATTGATAAGACTTCATATAATATTAAAAATATAGTAATATTTACTAAAAATCAAGCGACTAACAGCTTTTGCAATCTAATGGCTTAAGGGCTGTTGGATATTAGATATGGGAGTACTACTCACTTTCGAATTTCAAACAAATTTGCGTTGTAAGGTTGCATATCTTCGATTAAATTCTAGGATCCAATAATTAGCTTGATCGGGTTTCAACAGCTTATATGTATCGGTCTTGCCATTAAATAGGAGATGGAATTATATAAATAAAAGATCCTTGATAAAAGATATGAAAGAGGATCGAGATGGAAAGATGAAATCTTAATCGCAACTATATAGCATAAAGATTTCTATTTAAAAGGTTGTAAGACTATCTTCAATTGTTATCAATGATGATTGGATCAATAATAACTTTTGAATTTCCAGCAATATAAAATATAGATCACTATGATATGTGTAACTATCATAATCCTTGGATGTCTTTAATAAGGCGGTAATGAAGGAAATGAGAAAAGATAATTATTGATGATAACTACATTGGATATCAAAGATGCCCAATTAAACCAATTGTAAAAAATGTATCATAAGTCAATTCTCGTGAGCATACTAATGTAAGTTACTTATCTCATTTTTCAAAATTCGTTTAACAATTAAAGGGTACTTATTATACTTTAATAAAAGGTGAGTAGCGCAATTTCATTAGTGACGCTTCTATTAGCTTGACAGATACATATAATATAAATTCATAGTCATTGTTAAGTAGAGGTTAGAATATGCGGTCTTTAGAATCATGTTTTAGATAGATGTTGATTTCTTTCTTCTGAAAGAACACATAGTATAGTAGAAAAAACTATTGGAAATGAATAACTGGAACTTACTGGAGCTTACCGCTTCCTTTGCCTATTTATTTACTATTTGAAATATACCAATTGCTTTAGGGATTTAAATTATAATTTATTATCATTCAGTATTAAATCAAATGAATGTTGCTAAACCGTTTCTGACTAGTTAAGCTTTGTTGGTAATCGGAGTATATGATCATTATGATTAATTCTGTAAAGATTACTGAGAGAATATATGATGTATCATCATGGCATCCTAATAAATTTCATTGATGTAAATTTCTTTATTGAAAATGTGACGTCCTAAATTGAACAAAATCTAAATTCATAAAGATATCCAAATCTCATTTGTTTTATGATGTATTTCTAAATACTTTCTTCATTTTTTGTGATATGTCACATTTTTGGAAGAACTTCAACAAATAAGAGCCTTGTTGGCGCAATCGGTAGCGCGTGTGACTCTTAATCACAAGGTTAGGGGTTCGAGCCCCCTACAGGGCTTTCTTTTTTTCTTTCGATTTTTCATCTACCATAATAAAAGAAAAATAGGTGTTTAAGCTTATAAAACAACAAAGTTTACTACTATTTATAATTCATCATATACTTGTTTTATTTATTTTTTTGTCATATTGTTTTCTTTATTAGAGTGATTTCTCTATCCTAATATATTTGAGCGACATAAAATAGGCTGGCATGAGAAATTATTTTAATTTACAGTAAGCAATACAATTTCTGAAATAAATAAATATTCAATTTTCATACTTTAAATACATTAGTTTTGGGGTGCATATAACCATACATTGTCTACAAGAAATGTGTTTACTTGAATCTATGTGTTTCTCAACAAAGTGGTTTTATTTAATGTTTATTGTAGATTTTGCAGAATTGAAAAAAAATTAAATTCTAAAATAGGAAAATTATTACAAAATAATAATTACAAAATACAAAATAATAGTTTAACTCTACTAAACAGTGCAACACTTTCTTCCTTTTTACCAATATCCCCAAATTCATTGAGTCGTTCAGAATCTAATTTTTTAACTCTTGCTAAAAAATTATTGAAAGAAGACAGAGCCTTAATTTCGTTCATGTTGCTATTTTCATATATAAAAAATCGAAGCAATACAATTAAACATATATCAGCTTTCATAATGGTGATATATTTTTTATACAAGCTTTTCTTTATTTTGGCATCGATTTTATTATTTTCGTCATTTTTTTCCTTGTTATTGGATTTGTCATAAGCGTCATTATCATTACATTTAAGTTCTGGAATATAAAAGTATCCGTCATTAATTAACTCTACCAAAATTTGGAAGAATGCTTTGGAATTATTGAAATTGCTACATAAATCTAATGTTTCTCTATTATTTTCAAGATAATTTTCGGATAATTTCAATATACAATCTTCAGCCAAAATTGGTAGGAAAAATAATTCTTTTGAAATCATTTCTGTATAAAAGAACATTTTAAATTGCTTAATATTGTCAAAATTTATTACACATCTTATAATGCTATCTCCTAATGTATTAGTTGACATTTTAGGTAATTCCAAACGTTCATCATCATCTAAATCTTGAAGAAGCCTAAAGCATAAGCCAATCATTTTCCTCCTAATAGACATCGATTTGAGCATCTTGTAGTCATTGCTATACTTAACCCTAGGTAAAAATGCATTAGATATAACATTCTCGTTTTGATAAATACGTTGCATAACTGTTCGATACGATAATATATCGTTTCTATCAGAACAATTAATAAAGACGGATTCACAAAATCTCTCTATAAAATCTACTTCGCCAATTGACCTCAACAGTGTACCAATTGGACTTCGTGACAACTCCCTACTAAAAAAATGACTATTTCCTTTGTTGGTCAATTCATTTTGAATATAGTAATCATGTCGTAGTAAGTAAATATCTAGAATCATTTGTAAAATAGGCATCCAAATTTCTTGACTCGACAAATATAATGCAGTATCCTCTTCTAAGGAATTTGACAATGTCCATATCAGCAAGTTAATAAAACTATCACGTTTATTCAAGACGATATTAAACAATTTATTTCCTAGAACAGTTTTATTTCTATCCAAAAAGGGAATATATGAATTATATGGATTCTGAAAACCAATTGTATCATCGTCGTTATTTTCGTCGACTGAGCTTGTCAAATACTCAATTTCAAATTCTACCTCAGCTCTTCTTCTTTTAAATCTATTGCGTATATCAGTTCTCTTCTCTTTGTTAAAGATCAATTCAATCGCAAGGAAAAATTGACACCTTAACAGTTCCAAAGAGTACCTGTCGTATTTCCCGCAGTCAAATTCATTTAGAATTTCAATATAATTCTTTAAAATTGCAATTGATCTTTTGTTCAACTGCTTCCCTGTTAAAACATAATAATCATTCTTTCTAACCGTTGCCTCTTTGTAATACTTCGATACCGTTACTAAGGTTAATAGCAAAATAATTATATCATAAGGTGGTACAACAAATGTGTCTGAGGTTTCATAAGACTCGATAAAAAACAACAGATCTGCATAATTACCAATTAGCGCCATTGCATTAAGTGTTTCAAAATTACTTAAGTGTTTATCCGTTAAATGGACGAAATAATATGGTAAACTCTTTATGTCATTTTTATTAGTGAATTCATTGGAGGTAGAACACGGTTCAGCATAGTTCATTATATGGGGATATCGAACACTAAATATAACGAACCACTGATTGGTATGCTTGTTCAGTTACGCTTTAAATATATATTATTATAAAGAACTTTTGTCTTAACAACTTCATATTAGAAATATCGAAACTTTTATATTTATTCGATGAGATGTTGGAAGTTTCGATTCTTAACGCGTAAAGCAAAAAATGACGTAATTTTAAATAGTTTAAAAGTGGAAGTGACGTGAAGACGTTATAATAAAGTAACAGAAATTCATAGGTCGTGTAATCATCTAATTAACTAATCAAATAAATATAATATGTAATGTAATATACAGGTATTATTTATGTACTTTTAAGTTTCTGGTTTATTATAATCAGGAGGAGATAATTTATGAGTTCGATATTTTGGTCAGCTTTAATAAAAGGCGGTTAGAATAAAATAAAGTAAAAAAAAACATTTAAAGGAAATTATAATGTTTATGCTATTATTGTAATTGTTGTTGTTGGTTGGCTAGTTTTCTTTCTTGCCTACCTCTTTTCATTACTTGTTTCAATGCTGTACTATCTAGCGGATCAAGTAATTCAAAGGAGCACAATAGACCTTCGCTTACACTCATTACAGCTCCCCAATTATCAAACTCACCACAGTAGTTAGGAGCTGAAAATACAGTGACTAAGCTTCTGTCGTTAAAAAATTCATAACCGTCTTCGACAACCATGTGTGCTCTACAAACTAAGTCAAAGCCAAATTTATTTAAAAATTTATTGATTGCAACTTTATTATAACAGTAACTAACACCTCTTTCATTATCTTCCCACTCATTGGGCGAATCTGTAGGATCAGACCATAATAAATCATTAATCAACCCAAAATCTGGAACATCAGTTGGCCTACTTACATGTCTTATTTCATCCATTGAGTTTAAAACTGGAGATAAACCTCCATGAACGCAAAATATTTTTCCTGTTACAATAGCTGCCAATGGTAAAGTGTTAAATGTATCTATAAATACTTTCCATGTTTTGATATTGCAACGACGCTTACATTCATCATAAAATCCGTACACTCTTGTAACGTTAGCACATTCATGATTACCTCTTAATAAGAAAAAGTTCTCAGGATATTTAATTTTGTAACATAATAATAATAAAATTGTTTCTAATGATTGTTTACCACGATCAACGTAGTCCCCAAGGAATAAGTAATTTGCTGCAGGTGGGAACCCACATTTGGTGAATAATCTTAATAAATCACCATATTGTCCATGAACATCACCAACAATTTTAACTGGTGGTGATAATTCTAATAAAGGAGGTTGCGATAAAAAAATTTCTCTTGCTTGTTGGCAAATTTGTGCAATTTCTGAATTTTTTAAACAGACATATTTTGTCCTTTTTGCTGCATAACCAGCATCCAACAATTTTTGAATAGTTTCATCTATATTTATTGGCCTTAACGGCTTCTTCTTCTTACCACCGAGTTGAGAAACACTATCATCTTCTTTATCATTCATCTTATTACCGATCAAATCATCATCATCATCTGGTACTACTGTTGGAAATGCATCTAAGTAGGCACCCTTTGCTGAATTTAAAAGCTCGTGGAAATCATGACTAAAACCATGACGAGTTGAAATATCATTTGAAGAATCTGCTATATGTGTCTCAGACAAATTAGAAGTAGCTGGGTTGAAGTAATCATCATTTTCTTTACCATTCTTAGTAATACCAGGAGAATTCAAAGGTGTTGTATATGTAGTTGTATTTCCTGAAGCTAAAGATGAGGCGTGTGAACCTGTTCTTGACATCGAATGAGCATATAATGATGAATCCGAAACGTCTAAATTACTATCCGATCTCTTGTGATGTTTCGAAATGACAGAAGGACTTCTTTCACCATCTGAAGCAGGGTTCATCATTACTTCCAATCTTGACCTACTACTGGTTCGCTGATGTGCAGAATGTAAATTAGTTTCATTATTATTATTGTACTTGCTGTGTTTGTTATTGTCATCATCGTCATCGTCGGTTAATGCATGTTCGTTATTGGTAAAAGAAGTTGCTGAATGAGAATGTTTATAATTTTTTAAAATTGGAGATTTTGGTTGCATTTGAACCATTGAAGGAGGTAGATCCATGTTTGTGTTATAACTAGACCTTCTAGATAATGGTCTCTCCATGTTAGTACTACTACTATTGTTTGAATTTAAATTATTTCCAGAATTATTAGCAGTATTTGAAGAATACATTTGTGGGATATGACCTAATGAATGGTTTCTTCTATGATTTAAATTTTGAGAATTTGAACGAGAACCTGCTTGTTTAGAATCTAATTCTTTATCATTAGAAACATCAGAAACGTTGATTGTTGGAATTGCTCCAATTGGTGTATCTCTCCCATTTTCTGACTTCTTACTTCTAACAGATTTTGTAGATTGTTCAGTATCTATTCTCTTAATTGGTATCGAATTATTTGTAGAACTATTAATATCATCATTTGATGATTGTGATTTCTTTCTAATTTTTTTATTCTTTGATTTAATTTTACTGCTTGTTTCTAAATTTATAGAAGAAGCAGAAGAAGAAACACCATTGCCCTTTTGCTTTGATTTCGAAGGTTTGGATGAAGAATTACCCATTTCAATACTCTTTTAGAAACAACAACGGCAACACACACTCTCTCTTTCTATCTCTCTCTCCTTTCTAGAAAATGTATCAATATATATTTGTCAATGAAATAAAACGAATGGAATGCAAGACTAAATGCTATGCTAAAATTATCAATATATATAGAGATTATAATAAAAAGTCAGGAAAGCTTGAAAAAAACAAACAAACCAAGCTAAATCCAATCTATTATCTAACCAAATCACAAATCTCGATATATCAATACACACATAAAACTTTGTATACTGGTCTATTAAAATCGTATTTTCCTTGGAAAACAGACAAAGATAACAATAATAATTACCGTTTGCTAAAACTACTAAACTGAACCAATACTTGAATCACAAGATATATAATCCTATATAAAATACAAGAATAACTAACTATCCAGTTATACAAATCGACAATATAGTCGAAACTGAAAGTTGATGATAATGTTATTACCAATTTCGAACTCGAATCTACTTTTCGAACCAAAATTTGACGTTAAAAAATGACAAAAAAAGGTTCGAAAACTTAACGACGGATGCAGTGGTGATATTACTGTTTAAGTTGAACAAGAAAGATGGTCGAAGTTAGAACAGTATAAAAGGGGTATACTGATAGGTGATTATGTGATGTAGATATAGATGTGGGTTGTGATGGTATTTACATTAATATCCATATCTATATATCCAAATTGATATCCATATTCATCTCTCAATTCACATTTGTATGCCAAATTTAGGAATACTTTTTTCTGTTTCAATGAAAGAGAGTTGATTGATGGTGTAACTTTTTGCACATGTGAATATCTCGAACATGGCTTTTTTTCTTTTTATTTCTTTTCTTAGCATTGGATTATGTTAGAAACCTCTGTGGGAGTAGGGAGAGTAAGATGAAAAAAAAAAATACTGGATTTCGATTACCCGATTGGGGCATTGACTTGGGTTCATTTGGCCAAGAGCTTGGGTTCTCGATAATTTCCTAATTGGGGCAAAGGAGATCAAGTGAAAGTTTAAAATCTTGTAAAAAGCTATCAAATTTCGAAACTGTTAATATAATGAGTTATAAAATGAATTGGTATTGATAGTCAATGATGCGATGTGTGATTTAGTAAGACTTGATCTGGTGCTTTTTTTTGCTGGATGAGTCTCTAAGAGGTCTATTTGTGGAGTTGTCTTGTATACTTCTGTATTTGGATTCAGTTTGGTCAAGACTTTGCGAAGAAAAGAGAGACAGAAAGTATAAAAAAATAAAGGGAAGGTTTAAATACACAGTCAAATTAGGTTAATTTCAATGGAGAGAATTGTTCAACAGACTGATCTTGATGCATTGTCTTGTAAAATGGCGGCTGTTTCGAAGGGGTATCTTCCTTCCAAGGAACTGCAGGAGAACGTTTGTGGTTTTTCCGATTATAAGACCATCCATTTGGAATATTTTAAAAGCATTATGAAAAATTTGGGTAGAAGGGCCCAAGGCCAAATCAACAGATCTTTGCAATCTTCTTTCCCTGTGATGAATTATGGGACTTATCTGCGAACAATAAGCATCGATATGGTATTGCATGATTATATATCGAATCACAATGATGATGGGTTTATACAAATTGTCAATTTAGGTTGTGGTTCGGATTTAAGAATGATACCTTTATTATCAATTTATCCAAATATGTCATACATAGATATAGATTACGAGCCAACTATCAAATTGAAAGGTAATCTATTGGGAAACAGTGAATTCTTTGGAAAAGTTTTACCAGCTGATAGATATAGGTTATTATCTTGTGATTTAAGTAAACACGATGAGGTTATTAACTTACTGAAGGAAGTTACCGATTTAACCAAACCGACCATTTTCATTACTGAATGTGCTTTGTGTTATCTGAAGGATGATGATGCCCAACTTCTCATAAACTCTTTGATCTCAACATATCGCAAAGCTGGTCTCTGGATATCTTATGATCCCATTGGAGGTGGTGGAGAAGGTCCTGATGGTAAGGATGACAAGAACGATAGGTTCGGTAAAATCATGCAGTCAAATCTCAGGGAAACAAGATCATTGGAAATGCCAACTTTATTGAAATATCGGAATAAGGATTCCTATTCTTCACGGTTCAAACAACTGCCTGATGTAAATATAGATGTCAGAATTCAAAATTTATGGGAATATTTCACAAAAAACATCTCTGATGAAGAAAAACAAAGATTAAAAGGTTTACAATTCTTAGATGAAATTGAAGAATTGCAAGTAATGCAATCGCATTATGTGTTACTCTCTGCCCAATGGTAAAATACTTACACAGATGCACACATACACACATATATATATTTGTACTAAAATAAAAATGAAAACAGATCCTTGCTATACTGTAAGGAAAAATTCATCTACCTATGTCACTCAAAAGTGTCGTCATGATGATTATGAAATTATGTAAATGCTAATAATATATTATATATCCGTACATATAGAAAAAGTTCATTATCTATCAAAGCATATTATATGTATGATTATAATAAAATGTCTAAATTTCCTTTGATAACTCATCACCAGAGTTATCACCATCAAGAGTAGATTTTTCATCACTGGAATCACAAATTGTTGATGTTGTCTCATCTTTATCTTCAGCTTTAGTTTCGGCCTTTTCAGAAGCTGAATCTTTATCCCTCATCACTTTTATGAAACCAAACAGAGAAATTAATGACAATGGGCCCAACAATGGAAGATAAACTGCGATCTTATGTTCTTGAGGAAAATAATTTTGTTGAACCATTTCTCCATGGAAGAAAGCTGCTTCAGACAATTCTACCAACTTATTACTCATGGATAATGCATTGCTCCAGGCAACGTCATCACCAACCATTGGATTATTTAATAAGTCAGCAATTTCAATTCTCAATTCAAGTGCAGCTATCACATCATTCAAAACATCCTTTGGAACTGAAATTTGAGGGAAGTTTTTTACCAACATCACAAGAGCATGCAATGTATCAACTGCTATGCCCATATTTTTTAAAGTCAATAATCTTTTAAAAGAGTTCAATGTTATTTGAGGGGTTGTAACATTTCCCACGTTTGTATTGTTTGTAAGACCAATTAGGACGAACAATTCTTGTGATAGAGTATATAAAACTTCTGATAGATAGCCTTCTGTAATCAAAGTATTTTCTTCCAATGGGAATTTGTTTACAATCAATGCCCCCCATCTAGGTATAATAAAACTTTCCCAGTTTGCAACGCTTGAGTTGTTTGGAACTGATGGATTTATATACTGTAAACCTTTGTCAGATGACAGTTTCCCAGGGAATACAATTGCCAAATTTAATGCCGAAGTTTCTGAATATTCATTCAAAGATGACAGTTCCGATAAATCTAAGACTGAAGAAAGGTCATTTTCAGTAATATTCGTTTTATTTTCCAGTGCACTTAAATTCAAATCATTGAAATATACAATACTTGTATCTACTGTAAAGTTTGTATATGGTGCCAAAAATTTTCTTATTGGTGAAAAGTATTTTTTCAGAGAGGAGTCTATTTCCCAAGCAATTGGTGCTCCATCTCCTGATAATAATGTTAGGCTTAAATGGATATTAGGATTATATGGTATTGAATAGTTATTTTTTGGTACTAAATCCTTTGTAGCTAAATATTGTTTTTCCAATTCGTAAGTAAATTCAACAATGGTTTGAGCCACATAAAATGGGAGATCATTGTTAACTACTGACTCATCATCAAAAAACACTACAGTTTCATCCGATTCATTTGATACATATAAACTAACAGCTGAATCCAATACCAAATTAACAATATGGTATGTTGAATTTTTCAACTTTGCTGATTCTATTAACTCATCATCATATGGTAAAACTTGAAGAGACCATCTAATTGGTTGATCAAATGAGTTCAACAGATAGTTTACTTGTGTCTGTACTGCATCATGGATATCAGGGAATCGATAGGTCTCAGACCTGATAAAAACAGGAATAACCATATGCACATCTCTATATTTATCTTCATATAAAGATTCAATATATTTTTCGGGTAATTTTGCTCTGTAAATCGAAGTTAAATAAAACCACAAGGGCACACCAACGAATACATAAAGAACTAAAATAAATGCACTGACAGCTTTCCTGCTATTAAATTTTAACATAATCAACCTTTAAATATTACAATTCAACCTCAGTCTGATATAAAAATGTCCCAATTTCCTGCAAAAACTTGATATAAAAGATATCAAAACTTAATAATCGAATAAATACTAATGTAGGTTTAATAATTCAATTAAATACAAATTAATAATTATTTAAAAACCCAAAACAATAGCTATAATTAAAAAAAATAAGGTCGATGAGCAGTACCACTTATTTAACCATTAGACGTCAGACAGAACCCTCGGAATGGACCAAACAGTAAAATTTATGACAAATTATCTAAGTAGTAATTCAATTTATAGGATCCTACAATCGGTGAGCTTAATTGTAACTGATTTTGGTATCTTTGTTTTATATCAATCTCATCTCTTCGATCTGGTTGATTCGATATTGTTACAAAACGGATTCGAATTTTTACAAAGCCAATCGGTCAGTGGAATATATACCCGAATGGGATTTGGAGTCAAGTCAGGGTAAAATCGTGGATGTTGTATATATATGGGAAGTGTTAGCTATTAAAAGTGACTATAACACCTCCCAATCAAGTCACTAAGACAATGTAAACCATGACGGATACCAATAGTTTACATGTATGCTAGTTTTACTTCATAAATGGTAGGGCGTTAAATCACTTTTTGGCTGGATAGCATTGTTGAAAATGTGTGTGGTTAGAATACATATCGATTTACTGTCATGCTGGATATATGTAGTTATTATTGGTTTTTCATCATCAAATTATAAACAATTGATTGAAGTTTTACCTGCTTGTTGAAATCACAACTGATTTGTTTTATATTGTCCCAAGAGAGGTCCTTCCAACATGCCATATGGATCTCAAAGTTATATTGATTGCCTTCCGAACACATTCAAAGATTAGGATAACTTAATTCAAGTGATCCACATATATTGTAGGTGTTCTAATTAGTACTATTTAAGTAACTACTGGTATAATAAGTTATTATAACGAACGCACTTCGCGGTTCTATTGATCTACTGTCTTGCATAGGAAATTTGGTATCTTTATCATTTTGTCTATTTCCAACCTAATCTCCATGATACTTGAAATAAAATCTATTTTGGCTAGTTCGATATATGAATATTTAGCTTTTAGATTATCCAACAACAAATCCAACATTGGTTATGCCAGAAAGAGAGTGTTCTTCCAATTCATGCTGGTCAAATGTTGTGTCTTTATAATTACAAGCTAGATTACCCTGTCATGTACACGTGATGTGCATTAAAATATCAAATTGCTTTTAAAAGCATCTCATCTCGAAGTTAAATGAAACTTAAATTGTCAATTGACCAGAACTAACATACAGGTTAGTTATCTCTTCAATCAGATTATCAATCATTTACAATTATTATATTTACTGACAACTTTAACCTTTTTTATTTGGTTTTTTTGCTAGAGAGGGAAGCATAGAATAAGAGCTTAGCCAATTAACACATAGACCCAGCAATGGCAGAATTAAAAGAACAAGAATATGTTCATGATGTGTATAACGAGATTGCAAGCCATTTCTCTGAAACTCGTTATAAACCATGGCCAATTGTTACAGAATTTTTAAATAATCAAATTACTGGTAGTATTGGTATCGATGTGGGTTGTGGGAATGGTAAATATTTAGGTATTAATCCAAATATATTCATCATTGGTTCTGATAGGTCATCTGGTTTAATCGAATGTGCCAGTAGATTAAATGGAAGTTACAATGTAATGGTGGCTGATGGTATGCATTTGCCTCATAAGGATAATACGTTTGATTTTGCGATTTCAATCGCGGTAGTTCATCATTGGTCAACTAGAGAAAGAAGAATTAACGCTATCAAACATATTTTGAGTAAAGTTAAAGCTGGAGGTCAAGCATTGATATATTGTTGGGCACTTGAACAAGGTGAATCTAGAAGAGGTTATCATGAAGGTATGAAACAGGATATATTAGTTCCATGGGTATTGCATGAAACCAAAAAGGAAAAACAAGAGAAGAAAGTTAAGCCAGAAAAGCCAGACCTATCAAATGTGCCATCAAATATGAGAGCTGAATTCATAGCAAAATGGAGAGAAGAACAAGAAACAAAAAGGTTAGAAGAAGCTGCTCGTAAAAAGAAAGAGCAAGAGGAAGAAGAAAAAAAGAATACAAAGTTTAGATACTATCATTTGTACAAAAAAGGTGAACTTGAAGAAGATTGTATCAGTGCAGGTGGTATAATAATGAGGACTGGTTACGAAAAGGATAACTGGTACGTTGTTGTACAGCTACCTGCCATATAAAAATGGCGAGCCAAATACTAGAAAATATCAATAAATTTACAAATATAAATATATGTTATATAAGTATAGAAAGATATTAAAAAATAAATGTGCATGGATTAATATATACCTATACAAATCTATAAGTGCTAATTGTTACAATAGTAATGTGGCAGTTGTTCACTAACACACTAAAAATGCGAGTAAGTTAATGCAAATGTTCATAATAATTAAAAATATTGTACGTCGAAGACCATACAAGTATCACTAAGGAACTATTAATAAGATCAAACGATAAGGAAGATAGGGAAGGTGAATTGAAGCTCAAGAGACCGGGATGAAATATAGGAGTTTTGTATTTATCTTCAATTTGTCTCCCACAGTATTGTATATTCAAAGTTATGATGATGGCTGAATGACGCAATCTGTTTGTAATACGAAGGACAGGAAGGTAATAAATAGTGACATAAATAGGATGAATACAATTCTAATAGAAAAAAAACTAAGACGGAGGTCAAATCCACTATAAAAGATTTCAAAACTAATAAAAAGTTTATTTTATAATTGCTAAATTTTCTTTCATAAGGTTTGGACTAATAAAAAAATTTTTTAGAAGAAGAAAAAGGATAATACAATATTATTGACAAATAATTTCAAATAAAGAAAATAATTTCCACAAACTACTAATTCAATCAATACAATAAAATATTCAACTATACAACTTAAAGGGGAGGACAAAAATTATGGACAAATTTTTTCTAAAATTTAAATTTAAACTTAACCTAATTTTGATTTTGGGAACTGATAACTGCGAGTAAATATAATATTCCTTGGTAAATTATTTAACATCTAGGATGCGAACTGTTTTCATTGGAGGTAACAATAGTTAAAATAATCAAAAAATAAATCAAAATCATTCCACAATCTAATACATATAAGATAAAATTTTAGGCCTTTGACGTTAGGTCAAAATATAAGGAGGAATAAAACAACTTTGCATTCTCAGTGAACACAAATCAACATAAAAAAAGGACACTTTCTGGGTGCTATGTGAAGAAATATGTTTATTGTCTAGTTGGAGATCTTTCACGTGGAGGAGCATCTCTGGCTCTGTAAGATGAATCTCTTGGACCACCGTAGTTGTCTCTTGGACCACCATAACCGCCTCTTGGACCACCGAATCCACCTCTTGGACCGCCGAAGCCACCTCTTGGACCACCGTAACCACCTCTTGGGCCACCGAAGCCACCTCTTGAGCCACCGTAATCACCTCTTGGACCACCGTAACCACCTCTTGGGCCACCGAAGCCACCTCTTGGACCACCGTAACCACCTCTTGGGCCACCGAAGCCACCTCTTGGACCACCGAAGCCGCCTCTTGGACCACCGAAGCCACCTCTTTGGCCACCGAAGCCACCTCTGTAACCACCTCTGAAACCACCACGACCGCCTCTGAAGCCACCACGACCACCTCTGAAACCACCTCTGTTAGATTTTCTGATTGGAGGAGGGTTATCATCTCTTTCTACAGAGACGACAGCACCTCTAAATTCGATATTATTTAATTTCTCTAAAGCATCGACCAATACTTCTTCAGATGGGAATTCCAAAGCACCAGTACCGTCGAAGTCTCTAGTGTTGACGCTGGAGAAAGTAGTTTCCAAGTTGTTCTCACGGGCCAAATCTTTCAACTCTTGCCAAGAGCAACCTTCAGGTAAGTTTTTCAAAGTCATTCTATATCTCTTTGGAGTGACTCTAGAGTATACGACTTCCAAAGGTTGGTCAGCAAAAGTTTTGCCGTTAACTTCTTCGATGGCCTTTGCAGCAGATTCGGAATCTTCGAATTCTACAAAAGCAAAGCCATTCAAAATTTTAACTTCCTTCATGGAACCGAATGGAGCAAAGATTTCGTTTAATTCTGATTCTTGGACGTCTAATGGGAAAGGTCTAACGAACAATCTAGTGGTAGATAGTTCACCTTCGTGGTCGTTATGGGAGTGACCACCGAAAGTATGTTGAGCACCTGGAGGAGGTTCAGTGTAGTAAGGTTCTGGACCAGGTTGTTGTGGTTCAGGGAATTCATGTTGAGGAGGAGGAGGCATTTCTGAATCTTGTTCAATAACCATTGCACCAGAAGTGACAACAGAGTCTTGAGCATTTTGTTCATCTAGATGAGCATCATCGACTTGTTGATCCTCAGACATTTGTTCTTGAGGTTCTTCATGTCCTTGTTGTTCTTCAACAACAATAGAGGTTTCTTGAACAACAGGTTCTTGAACCTGTTCAACTTGTTCTTCGTATGATTCAGACATTATGTATATATAACTGAGCTAAATAACACAAACGCACACGTACACGTATACTTTTAGACAACAAGAACAAGAAGAAATACAAAAATATACACAAGCACTTAACTATAATTAAAACTAACTCATCTAATCAAAGATATATTCTTTTTATATCATATGTGTTTGATAGTTCTCGATTGAGTTGTTGAATTAAATTTGAATTGAAACTTTTGCAAAATTTCGTTGTTAAAGCTTTGCCGAGTCTGCTGGTCGGGTAACAAGTAGTTTGTCAAGACCCCACCTGACCAGCACCACAACTGACCATACAATTGAATGAATTGTCTATAACTACAGGAACTACAAGAACTACAAGAACCACACAATCAATGCATTGGTTCACCAAGGCAGGGTCCCAGTCTGTGCAACAAGATTGCATCTCTACCATACACGATACTATTGTTCTTTACACTCTTAAGATACAACCAACTAAAGTCGTCCCAATTTCATGATGGATATTAACCTCTGCTGGAGCAACCCAGCCATCTACGGAGGACCGTTGGTTGTTGGTTGTTGGTGATCGAGATCAAGTTAGGTTTCTTCACTTCATTTCACTCCATTTCACTTCAGTTGTCGTAATCCTAGTCGTAGTCGATGTCTCTTGTAGTTCTTGGACAATTTTGACTATTTATCATCCAGTTAATTTCGTTTAACACACTCACAGACTCACACGATATTTTGTTCAATTGTGTTGTTGCACTGCATTGGGTTGGTTAAATTCCTGTTTTATAAGTACCAGTAGCACCAATGGCTGTCTTACCTCTTTACAGCAACAATGCAATGCAACTAACAGTTGCACCAGTCAAGTGCCAAGAGACTATGGATAAAACTTGTTTTCATGGTTTCGACATCTATGTACTTGTGTGGGTTTTATGCTGGGTCGGATTCATTTCGAATTGAGTTGAATTGAATTCAACTAACTGGTTTGGTTATATACCGTTCTATTATAAAAACTTTGAAATTTGTTCACTGGGTCCCTCATAGATTGACCGGTTCTTTCTTTCTTTATAATCTTTATTGTATTTAACATCGATATAAATCTATTTACAACTACTTGATTGAATTCGATCTTGATCTTTACTGTTTATGATCAATTCATTGTCTTGCAGTGTGCAACGAATTGGAAACAGAACCCAGTGATCTGAAATCATAATGAAATCAATTCTACAATTACTAATTCTCTCTATCGTCTGCTTATCAAATGTGGAATGTCTTAACTTCGATATACAAGCTTACAAAGAACCTGAACCATTCTGTGTCAGAGATTTTGCAAGAGAAGGTCAATTAGTCAACATCGAGATCGACTCGAATGGTAAAATTGGTGATGGACAAGAATTATCAGTCTATGTTCGTGATTCAATTGGTAATGAGTACAGAAGAAAGAAAAATTTCGACGGTAGTATTAGAGTAGCTTTCAACTCTCCACATGATGTACATTTTGACGTTTGTTTTGAAAATATATTCACTGACCCAACGAATAGCAAACCAAACTCATTACGTAGAACCATCGATCTAGATATCGAAAGTGGTTCTGAAGCCAGAGATTGGAATAAAATAAGTGCATTGGAAAAACTGAAACCAATTGATTTGGAATTACGCAAAATCGAAGAACTAGCAGATGAGTTGGTCGAAGAGTTATCTTATATGAAGATAAGAGAAGCCAAATTAAGAGATACAAACGAATCAACAAATACCAGAGTTAAAAATTTTTCATTTTTAATAATCATTGTATTAATAACTCTAGGTTCTTGGCAATTATCTTATTTGAAATCATATTTCAAAGCTAAAAATATCTTATAAATAGTAATAAATAAAAAGTATATAGTGGATATCATTCAACCCACCAAATTATCAAATACATGCCATGCTAATTCCATTCCATTGCATCCCATTGCATCCCATTGCATCCCATTGCATCCCATTCAACTCAACTCAACTCAATTAATCTATTCAATAGGTTTACTGTCATTCTATAGTTCCTTTAAGTATGAGGAAATAGATCACATAGTAAAACCATCTCTTATATAATACCACCCTAAAGTTACCCGGTGTTACCCGGCTTCAACTAATTTTTTTTTTCCTTTCGATTTGTTACTTTTATGAAATTGTAAGAAATATATAGTTTTGAATATATAATATATAAAGGAAAGAGGAATTTTAGTATTAAAAGTATTGGTTTGGAGTTATAAAATAATGGTATATTGTTCAAGTTTGGCGAACTGATTAAGGTCTGTGTTGGGCACATATTGCTAGGATACTGGGGGTACACTTTAGTGTTTTTGTGTGATTTCTGTTTCCCATTTAAATTTGCATTTTTAAAGTCTAATTTATTTTTTTATTTTATTAGAAAACCTGATATTTGACCTAGTTTAAGTTTAAGTTACACATTTCGATGAGCGAGACTCAGGATAACCAACTGCCTGTCAAGACTGAGGATGTCGTTGCCGATGTAGAGGTGCCTGTTGTTGCCGGTGGTTCCGATTCCAACGAGAGTGCTGTTGCGGTTGCGGTTGCAAGTGGCGATGCAGATGCTAATGCTAATGCTAGTACCGGTGCAGATGCTAGTGCAGATGCTGACGTCGATGTTGGTGCGAATGCTGGTGATGAAGAGAATGAAAACATTCATGTAAAGAGACCTTTGGAAGAAGAAGCGGATAAGGACGAAGATGAAGATGAAGATGAAGATGAGGACGACGATGAGGATGAAGACGAGGATGAAGACGAAGAGGCTCCAAGAAAGAAACGTCGTCAGGAAAGAAACAGATTCTTGGATATCGAAGCTGAAGTTAGTGACGATGAGGAAGAAGATGAAGGGGAAGAAGAATCTGAACTGATCCGTGAAGGTTTCATTACTAGAGGTGACGAAGATGATGAAGGAGAACCAGGAAACCGTAGAGATGATAGATTGCATAGACAACTTGATCAAGATTTAAACAAAACTTCCGAGGAAGATGCTCAACGTTTAGCAAAAGAATTAAGAGAAAGATATGGTAGATCCAGTTCGAAACAGTATCGTGATGCTGCACAAGACGGTTATGTCCCTCAAAGATTCTTACTACCTAGTGTTGATACAGCTACAATCTGGGGTGTCAGAGTAAGACCTGGTAAGGAAAAAGAACTGGTCCGTAAATTACTGAAAAAGAAATTGAATTTAGATAGAACCATGGGTGCCAAGAAGTTAAAGATTTTATCTATTTTCCAAAGAAACAACTATACCGGTAGAATTTATATCGAAGCCCCAAAACAATCTGTTATCGAAAAATTCTGTAACGGTGTCCCTGATATTTTTATCTCTCAGAAGTTGTTGATTCCAGTCCAAGAATTACCATTGCTTTTGAAACCAAATAAGTCTGACGATGTCACTCTAGAAGAAGGTAACTACGTCAGAATTAAGAGAGGTATTTACAAAGGTGATTTAGCGGTTGTAGATCAAATAAGTGAAAATAACTTGGAAGTTATGCTAAAGATCGTACCACGTCTAGACTACGGTAAATATGATGAAATAGATCCTGTTACTCAACAGAGAAAGACAAGAAGACCAACATTTGCTCATAGACCTCCACCTCAATTATTTAACCCTACTATGGCATTGAGATTAGATCAAGCTAATTTATATAAGAGAGATGACCGTCATTTCACCTATAAGAATGACGATTATGTCGATGGTTACTTATACAAATCCTTCAGAATCCAACATATTGAGACAAAGGATATTCAACCTACCGTTGAAGAATTAGCTCGTTTTGGTTCTAAAGATGGTGCTGTCGACTTAACCACTATCTCCCAAACTATCAAAAAGGCCCAAGCTGCTAATGTTACTTTTCAAGCAGGTGATCGTGTTGAAATCCTAAGTGGTGAACAACGTGGTTCCAAAGGTATTGTTATAAAGACAACTAATGATATTGCAACTGTCAAAGTACCAGAGTTCCCATTAAAACCGTTAGAATTTCCACTATCAACTTTGAGAAAAATTTTCGAACCTGGTGACCATGTTACTGTGTTGAATGGTGACCATCAAGGTGATGCAGGTTTGGTTTTGGCCGTCAAGCAAGGTCAAGTTACCTTCATGTCCAACCAAACTAGAGAAGAAGTTACCATCACTGCTAATAATTTGGCTAAATCTATCGATTCTACACCTACTTCAAGTGAGTATGCTTTACATGATATCGTTGAATTAAGTGCGAAGAATGTTGCATGTATTATTCAAGCTGGTCATGATATTTTCAAAGTCTTAGACGAATCAGGTAAGGTTTCCACTATCACTAAAGGTTCAATTTTAAGAAAAGTTAACGTTGCTCGTGCCCGTGTAACTACTGTTGATAGTAATGGTCACGAAGTTAAAATAGGTGACACCATTGTAGAGAAAATTGGTGCTCGTAGAGAAGGTCAAGTCTTATACATTCAAACCCAGCAAATCTTTGTTTTATCCAAGAAAATAATAGAAAATGCAGGTGTATTTTTGTTGCTAATCCAATGAATGTCGAAACTGTTGCCTCTAAAGATAACATGCTAAAGTAGTAAAAGGGATTTGAAATAACCTAAACCCAGAAATACTATCAAAGATGGGCCCAACTTCTGCCCAAAAGAACCCTTCTAACAAATCCTTAGGGGGCGTGAATTTTCCGTTGGGTAAAACAGTCAGAAATCGTTCTGCTGGTTAATAACGGCCATAAGGGTATTTTAAGGAAGTTAAGTGGGACAATGCCCCCTTGGATTCACCCTCAAGAAATATCGTTTACGGTGAATTAACGTAATTGAACATATTTATCCTGAGCGTGGGGAAGGTATTACTCTTACCATTTGTTATATTACTGGTTGAGCACCCAATCTAACTCGGACCCATTTCCGTATTGCCCAAACATTTGCTTCTGGTAAAAACTCCAGGAGAGTCCTGGCACAATCTGTGTGAACACTCAGTGGGGAGTTTCCTGTTGTACACACCGCTATATTTTGGGACCAA